ATGGCTAACTATTACTCACTGAAAGGGAAGTCAAATGCCATATTTAAAACAAAATCCAAGGAATCATCTAGACTCTTTTGTTGTAGTGCATTTGTTGCAAGCACATAGCCTTGGAAATTTTATGTAATGGATATTTCAATCCTTCATATTGACTGTAGTGGGATATAACTTTCAAGGAATAAGCATGCCAAATCCATTTGGGAGAATGATGGTAAGGGAGAAGTGCTTTATTTAGTAGTGTGGGCCTGGTAAGCATCCTCCCTGCTAAGATTATGCTGAAAATAAAGGAAATCGCAGACTGCTCATTTCCCTTGTACTGGTTGTAATCTTGTGGAAACTTCCTGTAAAAGGCAGTTATAGCATTAAAAGTAAACTGATTTCACACTCACCGGATACTACCAGACCAACAATTGCAGTCCTTTGGGAGAAAAATAAAATAGCATACTTATCCTTTATACTTTGTATTAGTTTGGGAGAACATGGAAACCCTAGTGATGGAGAAACCGACTCATGCCAGAGGCAAGGAAACTATTTAGAAACATGGTTACCATTTAGTAATTCCACTGAGAGGCAGAGCTCATTAGCCAAGAGACTGGTTACACTAAAAAAAAAAAAGAAAGAAAAAAAAAAAGAAAGAAAAAAAAGAAAAGAGAAAGAAAGGAAGAAAGAAAGAAAAAGAAAAAAGATTGTTCATTAAGCAAAGTACAGCATGAAAATAGACAATCCCCTCTGATCTAGGCACATTCTAGCTACAGTTTTAAAATTTTGAATTTTAAGACATCTGCTCGGGGTAATGTTTAGAAATGGAAATTTGAATATGTATTTTATGCACTGTTAGAACCTCATATGTTGGCACGACCATCTCCTCTTTTGGCTTTTCAAGTATACAAATCTCTGCTGAGAGCTTATTAGCACAAGGGATGGCGTGTGTGAAATGCTGAGCTGCTGTAGTGTTCAGGTCGCAGTAAGAAGCTGGAGGAGGCTCTGAATTTCCATCACTGTGTCGGTCACTACAGCTTCATTTTTAAACATATACGGGCTTTGCTATAATATTTCACTAGAAAAGCCTCCATTACTCAAAATGACTGCTGAAGAGAACACCAAAAATATATGAAATGCAGCCTCTGCCTTCAAGCCACTTAACATTTAACTGGGAAAACAAACATAAACTCAGAAAAAGTTGAGTAGAGATAGAGAACTATCAATATAAGGGTAAAATGGTAAAGGCAAAAAGAAAGGATTTTGAGAAGATAAAGTCTGAGTTCATCAGAAAGATGATCACTATGGACAGAGCGGTCTGGGAAGAGGGAGAACACCTTGAGTTGGAGTGCTACGTGCCATCTGCCCGGGCCTCCATGAGGATAGGCCACCTTTGCTGACCTTGTGAACCCTGGTCTGATACCTACCTAGAACCCAGAACCCACTTGTACCTTCCTAACTGTGATGATGTCCTACACTGGCAGTTACTTGGCACTTGTGCATAAATACTTCTGATAATTAATCATCTAGAACAAGTTTGTAAGTGGTTGTGGTTAATTCCTAAAATTGAGAACAAGAGTAATGAGAGCCACCTGTGAGCAGCAGCTAGCATGACCAGCCTCTTTCCCACAGACCCACCTGAGAAAACACAACCAAGTAAATATAAGCACGCCCCTGCCCTGTTCACCCTGACATGGCCATAGAATCTTTGACTGGTGTTCAATGGTAGCTATACCAACTGAATGGAGCTGGAACTTTGGGTGAAACTGTGATCTGCATCTGTATTTATCTTTTCACACAGCTTTTCAGGTCTTATTAGATCCACCTTCCCTGGCTGAACCAGCCCTTTGTCCTTGACCTGCCTTAGCCTATGATAGACGTTGGGCCACCCTTTTTTGTGGGCTTCTGGAATCGAGGTTCTTAGGTAGGGGTGTGTTCGGAGATAGGATGAAAAGTAGTTGCAGGGAAAATGGGAGAAGGCTGTGAAGGGCTAAGAAGGACCAAGTACCTGGCATACTTCTGGAAAAGCAGATTTGTCAGTTCCATTACTGATCTGCTGATCCCAGTCTTGGGAGTGGGGCTAAGGAATCTGCATTAAGGCAGTTCTTGCAGTGTATTAAAAAAAGTTTTTATTATAGAAAATTTCAAATGTGTGAAATAATAAAGAGAATGTGCTTATTATCATTCCATAGCCAATCTTGTTTCATCTCTATCCCTACCTACTTCTTCCCACTCCTCACCCTACTGAATTATTCTGAAACAAATCTCAGATATATCATCTCATCTATAGATATTTCAGTATGTATTTCTAAAAGATGATGACTTAAAAAAAAAAACCACAACCACAACACTAATACTTTAAAAAACCCCTTATTATCATCAATCTTCAGTTAGTGTTTGCTTCCCCGATGATCTCAAATTTAAAAATATTTGTTCAAATCAGGATCCAAATAAGGTGTCCCACATTGCATTTGGTCACTCTGTCTTTTGTACTGGTAAAGGTACAGACACTGGGATAGAGCAGTGAGGCCTCTTGAGCTTAGGGTAGCTGCTGACAGTTGAGTTAGATTGGAAGACTCCTGGCCTTTGAACCTGAACGTAGGACCATTTCTAATTGTTTTACTGTAGAATTCTCTGTCCAGACTAAGACAATTTTTAAGACAATTTCTCTGTCCAGACTAAGATCTTCAACAACTGGGTGAGAGGTGAGGGCTGGAAATGCCCCCTTAAAAAGAAAGGCACAAAAGGGTCCTGCAAGTGGTATGGGGAACACTGGAGGCAAGGAACAGTTTGGTGACTGTGTCTTGGTATAGGAGTGGGAACAATCTCAAAAGCATGAATTTGGGCTATTGATCATATATTGCCCCTTTAGGTAAGTAATGTGTTTGAAAGTGGCCAGCACACAGTTCCTTGCACAGGACAGCCAAGATGGTTTTCATATCTTCTCCTAAGGCCTGTCATTGATCCTTTCCCTGATGCAGTTGAACCTCAAGCAGATGCATATTTCTTCAAAAGAAAAGGAGGCCTTTGCAAGTGACCCAACTTTCCTTGTACTTACTTAATCATAATGACTCTGAGAGCAATCATTTATGGATGGCTTGCTAAGGGCCAGGCCATGTGTCTAGCAAGAGTGGTACACAGAAGAAAACCCATAGTTATTCGTCGAATGAACAAACAAGGCTGAGTTTAACCTTCGGAACCACTGCCACCACCTTGTCATGGAGTGTACTATCATCTCCGTTTTACAAAATCAGAGTAAGAACCAGGATTTATTGGGCTCTTAATCTGTTCTAAGTGCTTCATGTATATTATTACCTCATGAATCGGCACAGCAGCTCTATGAATTAGGTACTATTCTCCCCATTTTCCACAGGCAGCATTTGGGTAACTTTTCTAGAACACACAAATGATAACTGATGGGACTTGATTCAAATCTGAGAAGCCATAGTGGGTAGCAGTAGTAAGAAGGAGAGCAGGCCAGTACCAACACTCCCAGGTACAGGGTCTTCCCAGGAACAAGATAAAAAAAACACAGGTTCAGAGGTAACAGAGGTAACCTCTGACTACCCCAGATCCCCTCACCTCTTCCAGCCACCAACACTGTCCTTTCCTCACTCTGAGTAAGGATAATGCTGCTGCCCAGGCAAGCTTTACATAAAGAAACCTCAGAAATCAATGGGCTGTTTTTTGGGGGCTGCCTGAGTGCTTTGGCTCCTTTACTCCTCATTTATTAAGCTCCTACTCTGTGCAAAACAGGCTAGTGCCTGTGCTCTAGAAAGCAGCAATCCAGAAACCTCCTGGAGACGGTTCACAGATGGGGAGTGCTGGCTGGTTTGGGAGTTTTTCCCACTTTCCTCTTCATCAGGAATTATTCTACCCCTCAAGGTGGCAGGAGCAGCAACCTTCACTCTCAGATCACACAAACCTGAGAATGAAAAGAAAAGCACTGCACACAAAGCTAGACTGATAGCTAGGGAGATGCGTCAGAAACTTAGGATTCAGTCCCCAGGCCGGGTGGGTACAGACTGGCTTTCTAGGTAGAAAAGGGATAATAGAATTTGCAGAGCCAGGGGCCCTGAGTTCTCTAGTCCCGCAGATCCTGAACTCCCGGCTGAAACCCCAGCAGGTTTCTGTGCAAAAACCTTTCGAGATGAATGCATACATTGTCCTCTAACAATGCAAAAGTGACAGCTGCCTATTCAATAATGGTTCCGCCTCCGTTTAGAGCAGTTCGTGCCACAGAGGCATCTTCTGCGCTATAGTTATGCAACCTCACTCGCAGCGGGAGTTTTTTTCCTGTGCTTCTGGCTGCGCCAGATTCATGTAACACGCCTACTCTGGGCTTCAATGGAAGTCGTTCTCCATTAACAACCATTCTAGCTTTCGAAGATGAATGCCCTGCACAGCATACCCCTTGCACATTAAGAATCCAAGGTATTAAAACTAACTCTAACACACACACACACACACACACACTCCCGCTGTACATGCAGCTAGGGGACTGCAGCAATGCAACCAGAGGGACAGCAGGCGGAGCTCTCTTTGTACGGTCCCTCCCTCTAACCCCACCAACTAAAAATGAACTCATGCCAGTTCCATTCTTTGCTCTGCAAGGAAAACACACACACACACACACACACACACACACACACACACGGCAACACCGAGCAGCCTCCAATTTCCCCCTTGACCACACTGTCATTCTAGCCTCCTTGTTCTAACAACCCGGATATTCCAAAGCGAGTAACGGGGAGTAACGGGGAGTAGCGCGGCGCAACAATGCAACCTCGCAAGCAGCTCCCAGTGCAGCTCCCACCCCCGCCCCCTTTCGCAGCGTGCCAAGAGTTTGGAGCGCGCGCACGCACACTGTACACGGTGCCTGGCGTATCCCTCCGCCTCCCCCCTCCTTTCCCCGCTCTGTGGCTCGACAACGATTTGGGAAATGAAGGGAGGAGGGAACTACTTTCCTGAAACTTGCTATGCTGCACACGACTTCGAGTTGCAGTGATTCGCCCGGAGGCCGCAGCTTTTAGCCCTACCCACACGCCCTCACGGCCCGGGTACTGCGCTCGGCAACCGCACCCCGTGCCCGCTCTGGCCCCCGGGGTAGGCAGGCGGCCGGGAGAAGTCGCCAGGGACTACTTCGCCTCCTTCTCCCGTGGGCGCCCCCGGTTCGGGCAGCGGCGGCGGAAGGAGCGGGCGGCGTGAGCGCTTCCGCCGCCCCCCTCACGGCTCCCCTCTGGCGGGTGTGAGGAGCTGGCCCGCCGAGCTGCTGGTGGGCACTGGCTGGTGGGGGACCTGCGGCCGCTCTCCCGCTGCTTTCCGGGACCCTGTCTCCTGGGCGCGCCCGCTCTTCTCCGACCCGGGTGGGGGAGATCGGCTCGCCTGCCCTGGCCTCACACGCTCCCCGCCGCCCCCTCCTCCCCCAGCTGGAGGCGTCCTGACTGGAGCGTGTCTGGAGGAATCCGCCGCCGCGAGGCCCCTCGCCCGGTCCGGCTCGTGCCTGAGGACCGCTCCGGCCGCCTCCGGGCGCTAAGCGGGCAGCCGGCGGCGAGGTGGGAGATGGTGGGGTGGGCTCCGGCAGGACCGTGCCGCCGCCGCCCGGAGCCTGGGCTCGGCACCCTCCCGCCGGCCCCCACCGAACGCAGCTCTGCTTCCTCCTCGCCGCATCCCTGAGGGAAGCGCCGCCTCTGCTCCCGGGTTCTCCGCCCGCCCGCTCCTTCCTGGCCGGACCCCGCCGCGCTCCACCCCGGTGGCGGGAGGAGCAGCTCTCCAGTCAGCCTTCGCAGCCCCTCTTCCCTTTTTCCTTTCCACCCACCCTCCCCGGCCTCCTCGGATCCCTTGGCTGGGCGCTGAGGCGGAGGAAGAGGCTGGGGTCGCCACGGCGGAGGTTGTTGCCGCCACCCCCCTGCGGGGGTGGCCGGGGTTCCCGGCTGGGGGGGCACCGTTCCGGGTGAGGCATCCACCATGGTGAGGCCCCTGAGCCGCTGCCCCCGCGCCCCCCCGGCCGCCGCTGCCTCCTGCCCCTCGGTGCTGCCGCTGCTCCTCCGCTTGCTGTTGCTCCTCCATCTCCAGATCGGATCGCGGTGAGGGAAAGATGAGCGAGGAGACGGCGACTTCTGACAACGAGTAAGCGCCTCATTGATCTTGATTAGTAACCCCCCCCCATCCTTCCGACCCCTCTGAGACTTGGATGCCGGAAAGCTTGCAAGCTTGGAGAGTTCGGTGCATTTTGTTCTGGAGATAACATTTGATTTCTTTAGCCATTTAATGGCAGCACCCTCCACTGCCCCCCCCCCCGCATTTAGTTGCTTACTTCTGGGGGAGGGTATTGAGTGTTGGGGTGGGATGGCAATTGTACGTCCATGAGATGGAGTAATGTGGACGGATGGTGGCGGGGTAGAAATTACCTCTTTGCCTCGAAGACCCCCCCCCCCCGGCCTGTTCTTTTTCACTTTAGCATACCGTAAGTCAACATACCCTGAATATCCATCCTGCTTCCTTTATAGCTATTTTACTTGGAAACTAACGTGTGGGAGCACCTCCTGCAGCAAACTGCTCTTGAATCTTAATTCGATGAGTCAGTGACTCTTAAATACCGATTAAACCTCCCCCCTCCCCCCCCTTTTAAACTTACGACCTGTAAGCTTCATGTAAAAAATGGAACTAGGGAAACATTTTTAGAATTTAATAACATGAAGGACACCTGGAGTGTGGGAGACGTTGAACTATTATATTTTACCTTTGCGAATGCTGGGCATGTCTATCAGGGGCATAGAATATTGAGTGTTAATAATTATCCTTCAGCTGTATTGAGAAACACCATTTACGTTGATTTAGCAGTATTTACATGGCAGAATATGTTGATGACTTCATTCATTAACTTCTAGAGTGTCCTGGCTTAAGTTTTTGTTTATTTGGGCTGTTTGTTTTCCAAACGAAGTACGTTGCCTTTTAAATATTTTGTTTTAACGTAACGGCTGCCTGAAAGAATAATGGTGCGGTAACAGTTTTTACTGAGACCGGATTTAATTCCGTGCAGAATATTTGCATCCGTTCTCTTGTAATTAAGTTCAAGTTTTGTTTATCTTTGGAGGATTGGAAAGAGTTAAGAGAGTTAGGACTAGTCCTAGGATGCATTCCTTTAAATAAAGTGCATTCCTCGAGTCAGACCTTTTTGAGAGAACTTTAAAATTCAAAGCCTAGGCCTGTTTAACATAAAATAGCTTGAGAAATGCCAAGCAGCGTTTCTCCTCGAACCTCCACCCCCCTCCCCCCACCAGCACACTCTTCTGATGAGCGGGTGTGGGAGAAGGTAGATTGCTGCAGTGTCAGTGCAGTCTGGAAGCAGAAGTGGCCGCCATGTTCTCTCTCTTTTTGTGAATCGCCCTCATTTGCATAGCACACTCTTCATTCATAAAAAAATAATTAAACATCCATCACCTTGGACATTTTGAAAGGATTTCCCAGGACAAAAATTCAAAGCTTTGACTGTCTGTCTTCATGTAGCTTTTTGAGTTCAGGAAGTAAGGAGAATTCGAAGTTATAGGTTAAATTCAAAAACATACGCACACACAAACAACTACCCCTGTTCTCAGAATGTTGACACAGTTATGTGGGAAATATCAGTTCGGGGAGGTGCTGGGATCACGTGATCGCCTCCATTCATAAAATACCTGGCTGTCCATTCACAGTGCAGTACACTGTCTCACTGCCTTCCGCAGATTAGACCTACTTTGAGAGAGATCAAGAAGTATCTCAGATAACCCTTAGTTAGGGGAAAAACTGCTAAAAATCCTGAACGGAAGGACGATAATTTTTACTGGCATCTTTTAAGAAAGTAGCCTGGATCAAAATGTCAAATTCTGTTTTTAGAGATGGGAAAAGACTAATTACCATATTTAAAGTAAAATATTAATATTTCGTTTCTGGATACATCTAATAGAAAAACAAATGAGGGAATGTGAATTGACACATGAGTAAAATATATTGTTTCTAAATGGGCTCTTTTTCTAATACTTGCTGTGGACAGATTAAGAATGCAAATTTTTCATGTAGTGATATTGGTGGATGATACTGCTGTTACACTGAAAATGAGTAAAAATTCCCAGTACTTAAATCCCAAAGATGTTGATATTTGAGACACCAAAAGGCAAGTTGGGAGGGTTGCCTTTTTTTTTTTAATTTAAAAAAATTAAAAGTTGTTGATGTAGGACAACTTGGAAACTACCTCACTCACCCAGACCTTTAGAATTCTATTTTCATAAATTTATCCTGCATTATTAATACGTTATTCCCTAGAGGCTCTGTTATATTAGTTTTGGTAGAACAAAAAAAATGTTTTAGCATATATATATTTTTTATGAGATGTTAACACTTCATGGGGACAGAACTCTTGGGGGTTTTATTAAAAAAAATTTTTTTTAATTCTAGGAAGTGTTGTGTTCATCTGGTAATCAGTTTTATTAGAGCCAACATTGTACATTAGCTAAGCAAAAAGTGTGAACTTCTTTGGAATATAGTTTTTATTCCAATAATTTATCTTATCTTTAGTATTTAATGTTTTGAAACAGTAGTTTATTACTTATCATTGTATATAGTATGAAGAAACAAAAGATATATGTATGTTATGGCACATGCCCTTAAAGCCTCAGCATTGTAAGACTCCCCTGTAATACGGATTTTATCTGGGCCTTAAATATATTTTTTTCTACCTTCTTTTCTCCTTTTTTAGAAGCCATAATCAATAGGAATTTATTTACATTAGACACTGTTCTTAACACTTAAATGTTTTTTCACCTGATTTCAACCTTTAAAAGAGTGAAAATCACCAATATTTTGGGAAACCATTAACTTTTTCTAGGTAACCATTGTGAAAAATCGAGTGAGGCCTTTAGAGGCCTCATTTTGAAATCCTCTAATATATGCTCTATTATTTGAAATTAGAGTTCTGTTTGGAGAAATAGCTCTCAAAAGTTGATTGTGAGTGTATATTTAATCAATAATTAAGAATCTATTATGTGTAAGAGTTTATCTTATGCAGTGCCAAGTTTGAGGAAGGGTTGGTAAAAGTCTCCTTTTCTTTTCCATCCTTCAGTAATAACTGGAACTGATTTAAAGTGTCATTAAAAAAAAAACAAAAGGGGCGCCTGGGTGGCTCAGTTGGTTAAGCGACTGCCTTCGGCTCAGATCATGATCCTGGAGTCCCTGGATCGAGCCCCACATCGGGCTCCCTGCTCAGTGGGGGGTCTGCTTCCCCCTCTGCCCTATTCCCTCTCGTGCTGTCTCTCATTCTCTCTCTCTCTCAAATAAATAAATAAAATCTTTAAAAAAAAACAAAAAACAAAAAACTTTCCTCCTTGCAAAAGTAGTAATTTCAGATAATGTACAAAACAGTCCTTAAAGGGAGTGAGTAATAACTATTTGTGTATCTGTTACTCAGATAACAAGTCTTAACATTTGATAAACTATAATCAAGCCTTTCCTATGATGTTGATGTAGAATCTTATTCATTTATTGGATTTTTACTATGTGCCATGCACTATGATGATTTTTTTCTGTATTATTTTATGTATATACATGTATTCTTTATAGAGTGGAATTGCATAGTAGAAACTTCATACCCAAATATATTGTGACCCTTTTCCTATGTCATTAGAACATAGTTTTTAATGGCTACATTATGGTTCAGTGTATAACATACATTAGTTTTAACCAGTCTACTATCGTTGGATAATCTTTTATTCCTGAACAGTGCTGCATTTGATCCTGAGTTCTGTCCTCATCCAAATCTTTTACTCTTTCCTTAAGATACTCTAGGAATGGAGTTAAAGGAGATGCAGACTTTAAGTTGCTTTCTGCTACATTGCCCTCTAGAAAAGGAAAACTCACATGAGAGTGCTTATGTCTTGAAATATCTGTCCAGTTCTCTTTGAAAACATTTTTGCCAATTTTGAAGGTGGAAATGAGATCTTGTTCCTATTTTTAAAATGTGCTGGATGGTAAAATAAAATTGATTAAAAAAACCCCCAAAACTTGTTAGGTTGTTTTGGGCAACCATGCTGTTTTTAAATATCATATTACAAATAGAATTAAAGTGATCATACAAAAGTTTTGCAGATAGTTTACTTAACTCTTACCAATTCTTATGTAGTATGGTGTAATGTAAAGAGCATTGGACTTGGAATTGGGAGATGCCTTTCTGTCCCAGCTGTCACTAATTATTCTGTGATTCTGGACAAGTACAGCCTCTGTGGGCCTCAGTTTGCTCATTTCATTAGAGCAATTTGAACTAAGCATCATTATAGGCCCTTCCTGTACTAAATTACCCTAAAATAATACAGTGATAGGCACATTACAAGCACTAGACTTGTAACATGTGTATTTGTTAATCAATTATTTTTTTGATTAATTTTATTATATTGTTGTTTTTGACATATTTAAGCAAATGAAAGACTTCCAGTAGAGATCTGGTAGGATACTGAAGTAAAAGCATGAATTTTGAAGAGGCAAGATAAAAAATTTGGAGACAATTGGTAGTACATTCATAATCTTCTAAGGTTTTATTATTTTGGGCTTAATAGCCACATGTCTTTGATAATATATATACCTCACAGATGGAGAACTTTGTACTGCTCTTTTTTTTTTTTCTTTTAAATAAATATGGCCTCTGGATGAATAAGAGAACATAAGGCTATTGGGCTTAAACACCAACTTGAGTAGTTCTAAAAGGAATACACTAACAAGAGACCAGCTCTCATGCTTTACTTAATGGCTAAGAAGTGTCAAAAGTAATACTTTTAATTTGGTTATTCATACTAGTCATATTAACCTAAGACGAAGGGATAATTTTACACTTAGTTTAAGAAGTTAACACAGATAATGAATTTTTTCATCCTTTAATAGTTAGATTTAATTCACTATTTATGACAAGTTTTATGTCTTAGCTGCATCTCATTTTAGAGTCAAGAGCCAGTCATTAGAAATCCCTGAGATGTTTTTGTGGCACTCAGAATGGTTTGAAATGAAAAAGATCTATTCATGTATTTCTGTTTAAATGTAGTTCATTGTTTTTGTTAAAGCATAGTTCATTAGTAATGGATCTTAGACTGAGGTGTTAAATTGCTTCA